ACATATTTTCCAGCATTTAAAAACCAAATTATTATCTAATTTAATACTTTTTCAACAAACAAAAATCATGAATATGATCTGTAATCTTTCTATGCCGCAACCTTGAATTGAATGCAGAGTAAAATTTATTATTTTTAGAGATTCCCTCTACCACTGTCTAACACTTTAATATAGTATTTAAAAACTGTTATATGGTTGCTAATGTTTTGAATTCATTAAAATTCGTTATTATTTATCACGCTTTTTTCCGCTAACAGACCTGAATGCGCAATGCTAATTTTAATGAATTCAAAATATTAGCAACCATATAACAGTTTTTGAATTGTAAACTGTTAAGTCTTAGAATTCTCAGATATTAATACAAGACTTTGATAGGACTCTTAGGAGCATGACCATTTTTCTAAGTAAACTTTAATTTATTGTTAAAATTATTTATATTTACCGGTGGAAAAAGTTCTATAAAATCTAATTCATTAAAATATTCATACATCATTTTTACAGCTGAAAAAATACATTTCCTGAAATTACCGAAAACCCGCTGTATAATTCTTGTCAAAAGCGCATTAATTATAATACCAATAGTACAAATGATAGAGTTTAAAGTGATTTATCCTCAATATCTTTCATTTTTCAAATCATTAATAATACTACAGAACAAAACAAAAAACTGACACCTTTATACGTAATTAATGACATAAAAGTAACATTTTCAAATACAATAATGGCAAACCATCAACATTTTCAATTACATTAGTAACATTTTCAAATAAACATTTTCAAATATTTCTACTTTTTAAAAAATTTCGGTTCACGTTATAAGTTTCTGGGTTTAATCCCGTTTTCCGAAATTTCCATTTTTTGCATCCTTTTTTATTAAAAATATAATAATGATTTTAATAATTTTATTGATTGTTTGATGTTGATTAATTATTTTATAATGGCGATTTTTTTTCGCTATTTATGGATTTTTACAAACTTGACTCTCTGCTTATTGTTTGACAATTGTTTGTTATCTGTGTTAAAATCTGAGATTAGTTTATTCACCGTGATTTCAACAGCAGTGTTGACCAAAGAAAGCTTTTAACACTTTCTGGATACTGCGTGAATTTCTTTTATTTTGCATAATTTTCTGAATTTTTTCACTCATAGCTAATCTTTACCTGGAACTAGTCCTTACCTTAATTTATTTATATTTAATATTATAGAAACACTAACACTGATATTATATATTTAACACTGTTATGAAAAATGTTATGTTCTTAATATTAAATTTTTCTTTCAATTTATTAATATTCTTTACATTTATTTATTGATGATTTAATTACCTTTAATTTTCAAAATTACACAATTTTGTTAAATAATATTTACCACGAGGAATTATGCTTGCTTCGCGCAACCATTACGATAATGTTAATTTTAGTTTTTTGGATTTCCGTATTCAAAAAATAAAATATTTGCATAGTTGACTTAGACGATAAAAGAAAGCAAGGCATGGATGTTCTTTCCTTTTCTGTACTATCTGTCTTACTGAGGGAGCAACGTTGTCCCACCTAATATGGTGCCCCTGAAGTAGTGGTCAACAAATCTGCCCTTCAGATACCTGTATGACCTAGGTCATTCTCCAGGTGGGCATTGGAGGAAAAAAAACGATAAAAGAAATGATTTTCAATTTAATATAAATAAAATATTTACATGGAATTTTAATGTTTCTAAACGCATTTATTTGAATATCATTTTTAATCAAATGATTAGATTTAAAAAAAAATTGTAGTAGTGCTTATTTATCCAAAAAACAAATCAATGAATTCTTCTAAAATTTGATTTAAAAAATAATGGATATTTAAGTAATGTAATTAAATTCTATATAAAATCATTAATTCAATTGTATGCTATAATTATTAATAAATTTCGTTGTTAATTAAATTTATATGTTAACCATGAGCAAATTCAATTCGGGAAAATCCATTGCTAAAAATCTTCTGATATTTAATAAACAATTTTGTAGAACATATTTTGGATGATTGTTGACCAAAGAAAGCTTTTAGCACTTTTTGGGTATGCATGGATTTATTTTATTTTGCATTATTTTCTAAATTGTGTCACTCATAGCTAGTCCCTGTGTTAAATATTTACCTATTTTTTAAAATATACATTTAAATTATTTCGTACAATGGCAATAAAAATTATTTTAAACCAAAATCCTTACATCAAAAATAAAATATCAAATCATACATTTTGCAACCAAAATATAATTTTACAAATACTACATCCAGTGTACAGACGCAAAACGTACGCAGAATCAATTTCTCAAATCCAAATACTTAAAATACAATTTTCCGATAAAATTGGATGAGTGTCATAATTCTGTATTCCGTTAAATTGATTCAGACTTAAACTAACGACCCACGTGAGACATATATGCGGTTTGAGAGTAGCATGTAGATATATTGTTTAAGTGCAGTATAGGAGGTTCTGGTGCAGAGTTTGCCAATCATTGCACTAAACAAGTGCCGGTAAAGTGTAATCATTTTATTTCTAGCTTATTTTCAGAAGCTTGTTTTATTTATTGCTGCAGATACATATGCAGACTTGTGTGATTATTACAAAACAGCTTATAAACCCACGTCAAGTTATAGTAGTAGTACTTTATTTATGTCGCACTAAAACTGAACAATGGGATAATTGCAACGGTCCGGGAAACATCGATGAAGATAATTCAAAGACAGGCATCATAATTTTGATACTCTACAGCAGTGTTTCCCAAAGTGTGGTACGCGTACCCCCAGGGGTACGGGAACAGTTAAGCGGGGGTACGCGTTCTTATGCGAAATATCTTGCAACAAACAAAAATTTCAAACAATTTTATTTAAAAATAAAACTAGCCATGAAAATTTACGATTGCCTATTTTTCTATTGACTATTTTTTGCAGAGTTAACAGTTAATAATTAATAGTATCAACAGCCAGTTGCGATTTTTAAATTTTGTGCAATTTTTTATAGTAAAAAATGCATTCATTTTTTTTATTAGTGGTACACAGCGTTACGAAAAATTTAGAAAGGGTACACAAAAGTCATAAGTTAGGGAAGCACTGCTCTACAGAGAGGACGACTTCCCCTCTATGGTAGCCCGACAACCTGCGCACGAAGACGATCACTTTACAGTAGAACAGTTTAACCAGGACCGATAACAAGCACCCTCAGTCCCTTCACAGGCTGGATTTCAAAGTGGTCACCCATCCGCTCACTGACCGTAGCCAGTAATACTCGATTTCGGTGATCTAGTCGATCTACTAATAAGTCAACTTTGGTGTAATTTGAAGAACAAACAGCGCATGTTAAAGAAGGATATCTTTAAGAAACATTTAGGATTACAGTGGGAGTCGAACCCGCTACCTTCACTCTAAATAGAATATGATAAGTAGAGCGGTGAGATCACGCTGCCTCATAGGCTGAATAATCTTTGTCTTCCACTAGGCCCATTCATCCAGGCCCATTTTGCCCGCCGTAATGTATGGACAATTTTTTAAAAAAACATTGTACATTGAAGTTTTAAAATACTGCCATAATTAGACAAATTAAGGTTTCTTTCCTTAATTGTTATTTTTCTACCATTTTAAATATTGTGGGTTGCATGGAGTTCTGGGTTGGTATTTATATAGTATTCATTAGGCTTCAACATTCATTAAAATAATTTGTTTAAGAATTTTTACTCAAGACTGTACTCTTAGACTGACATTAGCTTTATCTGGTTTTACTTGTTTTCTTATAAGTAAAATTAGATTAAATAATTAACTTTATGACTTTTGTCTGCACTATGCTTATGACATGTTCTCACTGAACCCTTCTCATAGAGATTTGTAAAAAAAAAAGAAACTAAAAAGAGCATTATTGAAAAAGTATACGCATAAATTTGCTTTTGTTTTATTCAAAATAGAGAAAAGCGTTCAGATTTTCAGGGGGAAAAAATAATAATTGGACCATAGTGAATAACTTTTGAGCAAAGGATTGGATCTTCACATTCTAGGACTCAATCTTAATGGTTCGAAGGGGTGACCTCAAACGTACTTATTAGTTAGTACAGACAATATTTTAAGCTACAAAATCAGATATAAAAACGTACTTTTTCTGAATAAACATACCTTTTATGACGTTGGATTTGGATTTTTGAACCCCAAAATATAGGGGACAGCAGTAATCTGGGAAATATGGTCCCTATAGTTTGGTTTGGAGAGCTCTCGAGATGTTACGAAATAAGCAAAAAATAAAATTTACATTAATTTGCCCAAACGTCGAACCGCTCTCTTATTACTAACAATCCAAATAGTAGTTACCCACTATATTTTGAATATCAGAAATCCGAATCCGTCGAAAAAAGAGATATATTTATTCTGCGAAAGTACGTTTTTTTGTCTGATTTCGTAACTTAAAATATCGTTTGCACTTATTAATTAACATAATTGAGATCACCCCGAGCTATTAAGATTCAGTCCTAGAACGTGAAGATCCGATCATTAGATCAAAGTTATTCAAGGTAGTGTCCGCTTTTATTTATTTTGCACTATATATACACATAATTTTACATAACTTCCGTTTCTTGAGATCGTTCGGAATTCTATGACTCCCGTTTAAGAATTTTCGCTGCTCTCACCGATGTCAATTGTGATGGAATGCTGGATAATATAATCTCCTATCAACTGTCATTATCAGATCCTACAATAACAAAACATATTTCCATCTAAAATACAAACAAAGTGATAAAAGAAGGTAAAGTGTGCCCTCCCGTCGGGGACGTTCGTTCACCAAAAAACTCTTATCGCAACTTCCAATATCCGACCGTGGTCTCACGTTTCGAGAGCCCTGCTATAAATGATGACAAAGAAGCGAAATTTTGACTCAGTCCACCGATTTTCCTACCACTAGATGGCAGCAGCGCTGCATTTAATATCCCTCAAACTAAACCTCCAGCTCCCATGTCATCCCACCGAATCTAAGTCCTCAGTCTTACCGCAGCCGAGCTCCGGTGCATCTCATACCACCCGCGCAGTTCAAGTTGAACTTCCATGTCTCGTGGCCGTACTTCCGCCGCTCTTCCCTTTTCGGAATTACCCGTTACCGGTCGCCGACATGATCTGAAGGACCGGTGAAGTGTTAAATAAAAAAAACAGATCCGGTGATTACTGTACCTGTTATTGTGTTTGTGCACTCATTTTATTACTCGTTATCGCGTGTGCATTATTTGTTTATATATAGAAAAATCACTGGGATTTTGTTACTTATAAACGGGTGTCACCATGCCATGGATGATAGTAGTGATTTTGTTGACACTTCTGGACACACTATCGTCAGAGGTGTCATGCATTCGCCTGGCCGATATCTATTGGAACGCCACCAACCCAATGTAAGTGATTTATGGATAGATTAAAAATTACATTTGGATATTTCCGATGCATCGAATATGAAATATAATACGAATTCAAAAATTTTCAACTACCGCAAACTTGGCATATTTTTTGAATATTTACGCGTTTTTTTTATTAATATCCTTAGGAAAGTTTTATTATTATCATTATTTGTGCTTATTTTTATTGCACAAAGTAAAAATATGAATAAAAAAAGGGCACAATTTATTAAGAGCTCACTTTATTTTCAATCACAAGATTGCACAATTTAAAGATTTACAATTCAAATAGGTGTAGTTGGTCAAAGAGGTATGACTATCTTTCAAAGGTTTGAATTCACAAATTAGAGCTTATTAAAGCAGATAAAAATATTAACAAAATGTACATTTTTTCGTCAACTGCAGGTCTTCAATATTCTACTGTCCATCAATTTTCTTTATCAATTTTAAATGCAAACAAATATACATTTATTAATTATTACTCTATAAATTTAATGGGCATATTACAGAAAAAGGGAAAATTCTTCGACTTAAAATATTTAACAATGTTACTTTCTTTTAATGCATTTTATTGAATCCATAATTCTATAACTTAAAATCCATAACTTAAGATTATAAACAAATGATAATAAACTTTAAGAACATTCTAAGTTGAAAACGATTTGTATTGAAATAGAAGTTTTATGAGATCCTAATAAACAATATCGATATTTTAGATATTTTAAGTTTTTGTTTCATTGATAATAGCAAAGCATTAAAATTTAATTATTTCTGAGGAATATCATTTCAATATACACGAAATAACTTCCAGTTCATTCGCTTTTTCATATTTTTTTTTTCCTTTTCGATTCTATGCAACAGCAATAAATTGGCCTCTACCAGTGGAGTGGAGCCGTCGTAGGGGCTTGTGCCCCCGGGGGTTTAATAAATTCACAACATTCTGTATTATTCTCATGGCAACTGGATCTTCAAAATCCTTTGGATTGGTATAGGGTTTAGAAAGTAAATAAAAAAAATATATATAAGTTTCGCAAGTTATTTGGAAACTTGTCCGCAAACCACAGGAATTAAATACATTACTTGCTGTTTAAAATTCAAATGTATTTTAATAAATTCTTTTTGAAATTAATTCGTTTATAAAACGAATATTTCAAATAAGCTTCCAAAAAATATTTTTTTAAAGTTTTTTTAAAAATAACCATTTTGAATTTGTTTGCGAAATAATTAGTTTGCAAAGTTTGCTAATTAAAGGTTTTACGTAATATGCGATATCTTTAGATGTAATTGTTTTTTAAGCACATATAAGTTATGTTCTGACTTAATTAAATTTAGTTAAGTCTTGGCAAAAGATGTTTATTCGTTTTGGGTTGCACACAAATGAATGAAAAAAACTAAACAAATGAAACGCGTCGACTATGAAACATGTTGGTTAAACACGTTAGAAATGAAAATAAATAAAATATTTGAAAGCCGTAATAGAAACTTGAGTTAGTTATCTTATATCAAACTATTTTATTATTATAAATTTGCATTTTAAAACATTTTTTTGAAGAATTACAGTTCTCGAATAATGTAGAAATAGTTCTTAATAGAAAAGAGTAAAGAAGAAAAGCCAGTAAAGAAGAAAGGGGAAAAAACACATATTTTATCATATAAGATCTGATTAACAGGTTATATGGTGCAACACATTTTATACTACTAGTATACGTAATTTTGTCAAGAATATAAACTACCAAGTTTAAAAGAATAGAATCTTTTTAAAGGGTTTTGATTTCATCGAGGAAGCATTACTGCATAGCTTTTTTTTCTTCGACTTTCTATGACTTGTCTAAAATTGAACTTAGGTTTCTGAATTTTTACCGTATTTTAACAAAGCGCAGATCTTATTTAAGTGCAAACAATAGTGTGAAACAATTGAAAGAACTTCTATTTGGTTTTTTAGATTTTAATTTCGAAGGATAAAAAGATACCATAACGCCTTACCCTCATAATAAATGTCTTAAGAATTACGATATCTTAAAACTACTTTTAATAGGCAGCCAAATATACAGTTTTTAAAACCATTCTAGCTCAAAGAAAGTGAAAAATAAAAAGTATTTTTTAAAATAAAAAACAGTTTTTGGTTGTTGTTTTTTTAAATAAATTATTTTTTGTCCCCTGAAGAAGTTTAAAATACTTACCAATATTCATTCAAATGTTAGTATGAATTATAGCAACATATTATATGCAATTTACCAAGTGTAGGTTTATTAGAAGTGGAGAAATCTTGAGCGAAAGTTGAAAAAATGTGAATTGAGAAAATGAGTTTTTAAGACAAAACTTTGAATAAATAACTTAAAATAAAAATACTTGAGTTTGCAGACGATTCCGTATAAAAATTGATTTTCTGTTTTCAGTAAGTGGATTTCAGTATGTTTGCTGTAACTTTAAAAAATTATTTTAGTATTATCTTAGACTTGGTGTCCAATTGCTCAGAATAAAACATCGATTTGTTTTTAAATCGAAAAAATTGTAAGCAAAACCCTTGTGACCCCTTAAACGTTTGTTGTTGTAAACTGATTATTTTACGTATTCGCCGTTCTAATAATTTAATTAAAATATATAATTTCATATTTTTAAATTATTGAAAAATATAGGCAGAAAAATACAAATACCAACTCTTACAGGTGGTAACAAATACTTAAACGCTAAACCTAACGTAATCATTAATAGTTAAGTTTCTAAGTCTTAGTAAACTGTTAAGTCAATCAACTGTTTACCAATATATCGATGAAAACATTTATAAATTTCCTTAAACAGTTGTTGCCTTAAGAAGTTGGTATTTGTTAGATAGTTAATTTTAATTTAAAATAGAGCTGATATTTTTTAGAGAAAAAAAATAGTTAATCGTTATTAATTTGTATTCGAAACAAAGCTGCTGTTACCAAAAAGTAGTTACCATTTGTAAGACAGTCAATTTTTCCATAAAATACAGCTGATATTTTTAAAAAATAATTAATCGTAATTAATTTAATTTGAAAACTAAATTAATTTAGTAAATTCATGTAGCACTAAGAAATTCATCTCAAAATGTATAGTTATGCAGAACACCAAGTAGGGTTTGGGAATTATAATACGTTATTGTATTATTAACTTTAATCGCTTTTAGGATATTTAACCTAAAAATTAATCTTAGTGTTTGAGTTTCAATAGCTTTTCGACTAATAACCTTGATTATTATTTAAATATATAGGAAATAGATTATTAAATAAATGTTAAAAATTGTTTTCTTAAATTATGTCGAAGCTGTTTTTTATAAAAACTAAAGATTAAGATTCAAAAATTTATATAATTAACAATCGCTAACAGTATATTTAATAATTTTAGTTTATCAGAGTGTATTTTATAGAAAATTAATATGTACTAATAAATGTTAATTTTTTCCATGTTATATTAATATCATTTTTTGTAAATTAACTTTGAGATATTTATATTTTTTGAAGATATTTGTGGGTTAGATTTAATTGATTTATGTCCTCAGTATGAAGTATAGAAGCTACTTTAATGCAATTTGTTTCAAACAATATTTTATATTATTATGTTGCAATTCAATTCTAATTACAAATTACAATTTATTTGAGGGACTAAAGGAAATTCTTGATTAAAATCTACCCAACAATTGCATTCGTTCTTTATTTGACGTATTATTTTTAAACTTCGAGGAAAACAACTAAAGAAAAAACATTTATTTAAATGTGCATTTTTGAACTTATCTTATAATCCTAAGTACAAGAAAATAAAAATAATAAACATAATCCTGAGTAGAAAAGAAAACATCGCAAGAAATTAATAATAAAACAATCTTAGGCTTTTTTTAGCGTTCTTTGCCGCAATCTTAAAAACGAAAGCAGCTGTAGGAGAAGGTTTAGATTTAAAGATGTTTTCATTAGATTAAAATTACAAAAAATTTTATTTTTTTTACTGAGGAAAATTGCTTTGTATATTATACGGTATTGTTAAACTGATCAAATAACATGTTAGAAATCGCAAAAAATGTTTCTAATTATTATTTCATTCGTAATTATTATAATACTTTTACGTTGTTTGAGGAAACAATGATTATTACCTATTACGAACTTATCCATTTATACGAATGCGCATTATTTCTGGGACAATAGCATCTGTTTATGATAGGTGATATATGAATCAGATTGAACTAATTAAAAAAACAACAAATTTTTATATAAAAATATTAATTTTAATAAATTAATCCTTTACTGAACACATAGCTAATAAAATTCTATTCCTGTGATGCATATATTTTGATACATAGAAAATATAGTATAAAGAAAACAATTAAGTTTGGTTCAATTCAAGTCAAAGAATTTTTCAACGACGACGTGCTTAGGTAAATTTAGACGTCAGCTGTTTATCAAATTATTTAATCATCACCTTTTATTTAAATTCACCGAAGTTTGGTATTTCTGAATAACTCTCTGCCACCATTTAGGAAACATATAAGTTTTCTGAAGTTTTTGGGATTATAACAAAGTAACAAGTTTTAAGTTTTTGAAGTTGAGAATACAAAATACTATCTTCTGTTGTGAATCGTTTTCAGTTTAAATATCAATACTTTTTCCTTTTTTTTTTTAAATTAGGTTTCCCGTTTTTGAAATTATATAAATAAAATATGGCCTTAACAGTGTTTTTTAAAATTTATTTTCATCTATAATTTTGCCTCAGTTCAACTTGAGTTTTTCCAAGTTCAACTTTTATTTATTTTATTTTTCTTAATTATGTATTTTTTTCTGAGCGATTTGGCTTTTCTTTCAAGTCTTAACAATTAAAAATAAAATAAAATTTTGCGTAAATCTTTTGTATTTTCCGAAATTTGTAATGACTTTAGAACTACAGTAGCATAAAGTAAATGTCGATTTAATGAACAAAAAGTATTCATAATTTGTAATTTTATACAAGATGTATTTCATTTTTTGATGTCATAAAAATTTAACAATGAACAT